TCCGGCCCCGAGAACACACACGCCCGCTGCGGGGGCCGCCGGTCCGCGGCATCGCGTTAGGCCTCGCGCACCGCCACGGGGGCTCGCTGGAGACGAGTGCCGCCCAACCGGGCAGCGCCGCGTCACGGGCGGTTCCGTCCCCTGCCGCGTGAGCCCAGCGACAGCCTTCCTTCGCCCCAATTAAAGCTCGCGTCCCGCGCGCTGGACGTTTAAGAGCTGTCACTCATCACCTCCTTCCCGCCCCCCGGAGGGACGCGCGGGCTTCCCGAAGCTTCCGTGTCTCTGCTGCAGCGCCGTCGTCGCCAGGGCGCGATGCCGCGTCCCCTGGGCCCCCCTTTCCGTGTCGTACCCGAGGGAACGCCAAAGGGGAAACGAAACGAAGCGAACTGAGGGGACGTCAACAAGCACGTGTCTAGGCCACAGCGACCCCGCTTCACGAGCGGCGGCTCCACCGTTTCTGCACCTGCGCGCCAAAGAAACGGGCTTGAGGCCGGCCAGGCGGCAGGGGGGACGCGGGGACGCTCACAGGCGCGTCTGCGGGGTGCCCGCGCTCACGAGCGCCCATGCTCCTGAGAGGCGACACCCCCAAACCACACACGCCGACTGCGGCCCTCGCACGCCGGCGCTTCGGGAGCGGCGGCCCCAGCGCAAAGCGGGGGTCACGGCCCCCTCCCCGGCAGACACAGAGCCGGCCGCTTCCACAGACGCTAGCCCACCCGCGGGCAGGGGGGCGGGGAACGCGCGAACCTGGCGTTGCGGTGACAATGGTGACCTTCTAAGGTAACTACTCTGAAATCGAAAAGCAACAATCTCTTCACTGTCCTCAGCCAGCCGGCGCTCGCGAGCGTCAGGATTGCCTGGTCTCGCGAGAGCATTTTGGCTTTTATTCTCGCCTCGCACCACCCCGCCACCCCCGGTGTGCGCATGCGTCCGAGTCGGAGGCCAGGTGCGCTGTGCGGTGCTGGAAGACAGGTGGGGAACGCGGGGCTGCAGCCGGGGCAGGGGAGGGGTGGGGCCGGGGCG